AAACAGTGGATAATTTGAAATATCTGGAAACTTCAGGATTTTAATTACAGGGTGAGTAGAAAACAAGCGGTTGAATGTTAAGCATATGTAAAGTAAATGAAAATTATTTCCCTCTCAGATGTAGTTCGGCACAAATGAGGAAGCACAAAGGGAAAGTAGCGTTGAATAGCCTCGTTGTTGTTTTAAGTTCAGTTTCCCTATGCAGGCAGTAACATTGGCGCTGATAAGAGATGTCTGTCTATTGACGTTTAGTGTTTGTATAGTTAATATAAAACCAGAAAAACACAGGAAAACTTGTTACCATTTTTTCTTGGCATGCATCGTTTTCTGCTTTCTTCTGCTCAGTTTCTGAACTGAGTTTATTGAGTGCAGCTTCCATATCATCCACATGTTTCTGGCCCTGAGCCACTAGTTTTTCCACAGTGGTTTTGAAGAGGTCCTTACTTTGATAATCATCAGAAAATTGCTCTAACGCCGCTTCCGTTTTTTCAATCTTGCTGTCCAGAATGCTCTTCAGTTGATACTGGCTCTGGACCACCATCAGCAGTCCCATGGTCAACAAGACGGATAAAATAATCACAATCCAATTAGTCTGCATTGATGCTGCTTCTGGGGAAGGACAGGTTTCTATAGTCATGCTTTAGACATTAGCAGTGCAATTAAAAGGCATTTCATTTCCTATTATCTCTTCTTACCTTATTTTTAGCCAGTATATTCAACTTTAGTTCCCGTTCTCTTCTGCTCACTAACCTGCCACACAAACTTTGCCTGAATGGAGACCACAGCACAGAAAGTGCAAGCTGCTACTTCACAGCGGAGAGAACTTATGGTGTTAATTTTCACTTCCTCGTTTGCTCTCACCTGAGCGATAAAGAGGGTGGGGGCCAGTGTGCTGATGAATCAAAGCTAAACTTTGCTTGTGAGGATTTTAAACAGCTGCTGTTAAACTACTACAGAAGAGACAGGAAAATGTCAGACATGTCATTTTATTTGATAAATGAATCTCAGGAACTGGAGTTTTTTTGTATGTACTTTTAGCATGCTATGTGTAATT